AGCTGTATTCATACTTTTTAGCGACTCTGTAGGTACAGGTGATTTCAAAGTATGTGTAAATATTTTAACAGGTAATAGTAGAGTTAAAACAACTCAACTTGCCTTATCTGCATGTTTAAGTTTGTGAGATACAGAAGAAATTTAAAAAAGATCAGCAACTCAAATTGTAAACAAATACTAGCAGTATAAACTTTGGGATAAAGTCTTCAACAGGTTCAAACTTAATTTACGTCGCATTTTTTTGACAATTTTTCCAACGCCAAAGTGGAGGTTACACCCTCTATATCTCAGAAACTATAAACATTCGGATAAGGCAAGTTTAGTTATTTTGACTTTTTTTGAACTCTACTATCACATGGTAAAATATTTGCACATACTTTAAAATCACCCAGTATATTATATTATTCAACTTTATAATTTTATTTTGGAAGTTATGGTTTCTGCTGTTATCCTAGCGAGGTAAATAATATGTAGAAATTTAGAAAGCAATGGTATGAATGTGTTTAATTTTACGGTTTGGCTTTATTAAACTGCAAAACTGGCTTCTATAATACAATTCTCCCAAGTTATCAAACGGTTTCGCAAAAATTTCAGTTGATATTTTACCATTATTATTAAAATCTAAATATTTTTTAACTGTTACACGCAATAGTATGTTTATTAAGTGTGACATTCAACAGGTTAAAACCATTAATTTAACAAAACATACCGAACAATATGTTATGAATAATATTGTTCGCACATTTAGCAGCGGTTCTGATTTTATTTTCTCATTTGTGGTGATTACCGAGTTATAAATATAAAGTGATTAACGTCGCCGATTGTGAATTCCATTTTACTGTTCAGTTGTGGCACTTTCACTTAATTTTGGGTCTATTTAATGGTTTTACGTCAGATTATCGCATCGTAAAGACAAAAATACGCTCAGAGGACAAATGTGACACAAGAATAAATATGCAATTTATATACGAAAATAAAAAATGTACCGAACAAAGAAAACGCAATATTTATTTCCCACGAGTGTGTAAGTTTGGAAACACCGGTATAGATACATGGTGAACACTTTATTTTTTGCCATCTAGCTGTATTTAAAGTTCGTAAAGATCATAAAATCATCTGTACATGTGTCGAAAAGGATTATAACAATTCAAAATTTAGAAAAATAATAATAATTATATAATATATAATTGGCAATAATACAACAATCAAAACGAAAAAAACACATATTAAATTCGACATTGCATAGCTAGCTACTACTTATCGG